CATAAACACGATTTTTTCGAATAGATCGGTCTATGGTCCACTTCCCGGAAAGAAATCCTATATGCTAATCTGGGAAAAAACCTACCTACGCACCAAATTTTAAGCAAATCGGACGATAAATACGATTTTTTCGAAAAGATCGGTGCCTGGTCCACTTAACGGAAAAAAGCATCCTATGTGCTAATCTAGGCAAAAAGCTACCTAGGTACCAAATTTTAAGCAAATCAGACCATAAATACGATTTTTTCGAATAGATCAGTCCCTGGTCCACTTCCCGGGAAAAAGGATCCTATATGCTAACATAGGCAAAAAGCTACCTACATACGTACCAAATTTTAAGCAAATCGGACCATAAATACGATTTTTTCGAATAGATCGGTCCCTGGTCCACCGGAGGGTTTTCCCAAAATCTTCTTTCGTAAAAACCTTCTCCTGGCGATTACGAACAACTGAAAAAAAAAATGGCCAAATCGGCAAAAACCGTTCTCAATTGATGAATTACTATACATTTTTCACACCATTTTTATTATACCCGAGCGCACTTGTGCACAAGGGTATATTAATTTTGTTCACATAACGGTTGTTTGTAACAGCCAAAACGAATCGAGATAGACATAGACAAATGTATACATAAATGATCAGAATGAAAAGAGAAACCGATTAAGCCATGTCTGTCTGTCCGTCCGTCTGTCCGTCTGTCCGTCCGTCCGTGTACACGATAACTCGAGCAAAAATTGAGATATCTGAACGAAATTTGGTATGTAGGTTTACATTTAGCCAAGGTAGGTTGGTATTGAAAATGGGTGAAATCGGAGTGTAACCACGCCCACTTCCCATATAACGGCAATTTTCAGAAATACGAAAACTGCGATATTTTAGTAACTACTGGAGATTATTCACTCAAAATTGATATTTACAATAAGTTTTAGGCGAACAATAAGAATATTATAAATTTTCGGAAAATGGGCGTAGCCACGCCCACTTATGGTTACATGTGTATATCTTGGTAACCGCTTCACCAATTTCTTCCAAACTTGGCACAGTTGTTGGCCTTCGCACATCATACCAAATTGCCGAAAATTTTTAAAATCGGACAATGACCACGCCTACCTCCCATGTAAAGGTAATTTAGAGAAATACAAAATCTTCGATAAATAAGTAAATATTAAGGCTAATTTATTCAGAATCGATGCTTACAACAATTCTTAACCAAGAAATATGTTTGTGATAAAATTTTGGAAAATGGGCGTGGCAGCGCCCACTTATGATCACATATATGTATCTCGGTAACCGTTATACCAATTTGTCCCAAACTCGGTATGGTTATTGTGCTTGCAACATAGAAGCAAAGCGTTGAAAATTATTGAAATCGGACTAAAATTGAGGCCGCTTTTCATATAACGGTAAATTTCAGAACTGCTTGAAACTTCAAAATTTCGAAATTTAAGGACTCTAATTTACTCAAAATTTATACATAAATTTATATATAAATTTATAGGTTTCGGAAAGGTGAAAAACATATATTTAATACTTGCGCCTGGTATTTAATGTTCGGCTCCGTCCGAACTTAGATTTCTAACTTGTTATATATATAGATTTTAGAAATAAATCACTAAAAGCTCGCTATAAACTGATGCTCAAAATATNTTCGAATAGATCGGTCCCTGGTCCACCGGAGGGTTTTCCCAAAATCTTCTTTCGTAAAAACCTTCTCCTGGCGATTACGAACAACTGAAAAAAAAAATGGCCAAATCGGCAAAAACCGTTCTCAATTGATGAATTACTATACATTTTTCACACCATTTTTATTATACCCGAGCGCACTTGTGCACAAGGGTATATTAATTTTGTTCACATAACGGTTGTTTGTAACAGCCAAAACGAATCGAGATAGACATAGACAAATGTATACATAAATGATCAGAATGAAAAGAGAAACCGATTAAGCCATGTCTGTCTGTCCGTCCGTCTGTCCGTCTGTCCGTCCGTCCGTGTACACGATAACTCGAGCAAAAATTGAGATATCTGAACGAAATTTGGTATGTAGGTTTACATTTAGCCAAGGTAGGTTGGTATTGAAAATGGGTGAAATCGGAGTGTAACCACGCCCACTTCCCATATAACGGCAATTTTCAGAAATACGAAAACTGCGATATTTTAGTAACTACTGGAGATTATTCACTCAAAATTGATATTTACAATAAGTTTTAGGCGAACAATAAGAATATTATAAATTTTCGGAAAATGGGCGTAGCCACGCCCACTTATGGTTACATGTGTATATCTTGGTAACCGCTTCACCAATTTCTTCCAAACTTGGCACAGTTGTTGGCCTTCGCACATCATACCAAATTGCCGAAAATTTTTAAAATCGGACAATGACCACGCCTACCTCCCATGTAAAGGTAATTTAGAGAAATACAAAATCTTCGATAAATAAGTAAATATTAAGGCTAATTTATTCAGAATCGATGCTTACAACAATTCTTAACCAAGAAATATGTTTGTGATAAAATTTTGGAAAATGGGCGTGGCAGCGCCCACTTATGATCACATATATGTATCTCGGTAACCGTTATACCAATTTGTCCCAAACTCGGTATGGTTATTGTGCTTGCAACATAGAAGCAAAGCGTTGAAAATTATTGAAATCGGACTAAAATTGAGGCCGCTTTTCATATAACGGTAAATTTCAGAACTGCTTGAAACTTCAAAATTTCGAAATTTAAGGACTCTAATTTACTCAAAATTTATACATAAATTTATATATAAATTTATAGGTTTCGGAAAGGTGAAAAACATATATTTAATACTTGCGCCTGGTATTTAATGTTCGGCTCCGTCCGAACTTAGATTTCTAACTTGTTATATATATAGATTTTAGAAATAAATCACTAAAAGCTCGCTATAAACTGATGCTCAAAATATATCTTTTCAAATATCTTTCTTTTAATCATTTTTTTAAAGAAAAAAAAAACACTTTAATTTCCTCAAAGAATATGGTAGCTTCAATTTAAAAGAAAATGTCAAAAGCACAGTTTACGTCAAAAGGGAGCAATGGCGAATAAGGAGAAAAAGTGAAACTACCTTTAAATATTTGTATCATGGTGACAATCGGCGACAACTGTCCGCAAAGAGCACAGCTATCGTCAAAATGGCAGACCTTCCATGCTGTTTTAGCGTTGCCGTACGCTCTAGAAAAATATGAGATGGTAAAAATTTCTAACATGCTGCCGGGTGCACTAAAGTAACCCATAACAATATCTGCATACAATATAACCAATTATGCGAGTACGCTGAATTCGCCGACAAGCTTTTTTAAAAGCAGTTAAAGAACTTTTCATTAAACAAGTAATTTTTAAGTAAAAAACGCTACCGCCTTCCATTCTCATATACAAATTTAAGAGTACCGTTCATTTTTTGATTATCCAATGATAGGATCTAAACCAAATTACGAGACGAGCAGTGAGGTACAATCTTTCCGATCAAAAAGAGAATTATTGAAATCGGTTCACGTGGCCCAAAGTTATGCGGTAGCAAACATAAAGTAGAGAAAATATTCCTACGAATTGATAACCTCCTCCATTTTTGAAGTCGGTTAAAAATGTTTGAGTTCTTTGTTAATTTTATGTAGTTAAATAAAGTCCAATTAATGAAATTTTAAAAAAGTGTATTTATTTATTACATACCGTACATAAAATTTGCATAAATGTATTTTAAATATTATCGGAAGCAAATTTTCGGTATTTTCTGGTGATTTATCTCTAAAAGTATAAACCCCTCCCCTGAGATCAACGCATTTTTCAGTCAGTTAAAAAAAATCCACTTTCTTTTTTCCCAACACTGTTTTTCTTCCACATGGTGCACATACTTTGTTTCTGTTTTCTTCATGACTTAGGTAATACGTATGGAGTATTGTATATTTGTAAATAAAACTCAACTTGCATACACACACTTTCAGTCCCGGATTATATTACACAATTATTATCAATAAATCAGAACGTATTGAAACGCTAACAGGATTTATTAAAAATAAATCAAACCAAGAAATACACTATTCACGATTTTTCTGTAAAATAATTATGTGTTAACCAGCCAAGGGCGGTTCAGTTTTTGTTTTTAGTCTCTGCAGCGCAAAGAACGGGATTTCGTACAGATAGTTACTTGTAACTGTTATCTTAATTGTATCCCAAGAATTAAAAAAAATATGAGAACAAAAGTTTGTTCTGAAACTCTTATACTAATTTTGCAATTCCTGAATGTCAGTAATTCGAAAAAAGAGCTGATACGAGTTTAATGAAAATGGATTTTGGTTACGTAGGTGATAACGACCAAAGTTGCATTTTCAATTTTTGTCGTACGTTTAAGTGAACTTTTAACAGTGTGTCAAACTTAGTTGTTTCTGGCGGCCGCTGTGGTGTAGTGGAAAGCAGTGCGCGCTTCCACTCCGCAGGGCCTGGGTCAAGCCCTGGTCAAAGCAACATCGCAAAAAAAAAATGTAGAAAAACGGTTTTTTCTTAACAGAGGTCGCCCCTCGGCAGGCAATGGCAAACCTCCGAGTGTATTTCTGCCATGATAAACAGCTTCTCATAAAAATACAATCGCCGTTCGGAGTCGGCATAAAACTGTAGGTCCCTCCCCTTTGTGTGACAACATCAAGGCGCACGCCACAAATCGGAGGAGAAGCTCGGCCAAACACTAACATATGTATAAGCGCCAATCTTATTATTATTATTAGTTGTTTCTTGAGTAATAAGTTTAGTATTGGACTGCATATCAGCACGGACGAACCATGATTCGGGACAACTTGTTCAAAACTGTGGCAGCTTTAAAGAAGTCGCAAAAATTAGACTGTGACGGCAGAATAGTTCGGTCGTGTTTTCTATCGCTCTGTGTTTATTTTCATTTATCTCGCAATAATGTCTTTATGTACTAATTGTACGGCCCATTGTGGGCTGAAAGATAAAATCTTAAACGCGATTTCGGATTTGAAAAATTAGAAAGCATTTTTATCGCATTAATTGAACCAGCAAATGATAATTCTATTTCGCCGGCTCCTGCTACTAGTGGAAACAAAACAACGACGCGTTCGCAAGCAAAAGCTAGTGATAGTGTTGTTGCTCAGCCTGGTAAATTGCCAAAGCGCGCTTTCACTGCGCCATCTAATGATGCTGTTGCTGTCTCTAATACCGTGGCAGTACGAAAAAGTTCTGAAATGCATTGTGTTTCTGATGCGCCGGGTATAAATACTAGTTATACCGCTCTTGATGTAGTTGATACTAATACCGGGTTTTCAACTACTAGTAGTAATACCGGATTTTCTGCTGCTGTTGCTTTTACTCGCTCGCCAACTACTCCTGGTAATAACATCGGTTTTACTGCTTCATCTCTTCCGCCTGCTTGTACTTCTGCCTGTTCGCCAACTGCTGGCCCCGCTAACGCTGTGCCTACGTATGCCGCTGCTGCGGCTTTGGCGAACAATGCTTGGTTGAACAATGCACAAGCGAAAAACGCAACTAACAATGCGCAAGCAAATAATGCACAGTGGTCCGCTATGGATAAAAAGCGTACTCATAAGAGACATAGGCGGTGTGTATTTGGGTCAAATGAGAACTCGGAGCTGGGGGTTGTGGTTCGTCGCAAATGGCTGCACTTATCATAGTTTTTGCCTACTGTAAGGACTGATGACATCATTGGCTATGTGGCTAAATATGGAGCTATCGATAAGAAGACAATTGTATGCTATAAACTGGTCAAGAAGGATTCTGATTTGGAAACTATTAAGCACATTAATTTCAAGCTTGGAGTTTCAGAATCTGACTACTCAAAAATTCTGTCATCGGATATTTGGCCCTCCAACGTTGCTGTCCGGCCTTTTGATTTTTTTCAAAAAGATGCCCAGCCGCAGCCCAAGAAGTAAAAAGTCATTCTACCTCTGGTGATCGGAAAATAAATATCTATCACCAAAATACTTCGGGACTCAGGACAAAATCCGAATCTGTCTACATTCTCAGCTCACAATTGGATTATGGCTGCTTCGTTCTGACAGAAACCTGGCTGAATGCTAACTTTTTCGATGCGGAGTTCTTTAATCTAGCTCTCTTTGACGTTTTTCGCAAAGACAGAGATTTTGCTAAAACTGGTGTTAGTAGGGGTGGTGGTGTACTGATAGCTGCGCACAGATATCTTCGAGCTTCTTTTTATCCGCTGCTGGATGCCAACTCCCTGTTGGATCAACTTTGTGGAAAATTACATGGCACCTGTGGTGTGCTGTACATTTGTGCGTCCTACATTCCGCCGGGANCTGGCCCCGCTAACGCTGTGCCTACGTATGCCGCTGCTGCGGCTTTGGCGAACAATGCTTGGTTGAACAATGCACAAGCGAAAAACGCAACTAACAATGCGANCTGCAGCGCAAAGAACGGGATTTCGTACAGATAGTTACTTGTAACTGTTATCTTAATTGTATCCCAAGAATTAAAAAAAATATGAGAACAAAAGTTTGTTCTGAAACTCTTATACTAATTTTGCAATTCCTGAATGTCAGTAATTCGAAAAAAGAGCTGATACGAGTTTAATGAAAATGGATTTTGGTTACGTAGGTGATAACGACCAAAGTTGCATTTTCAATTTTTGTCGTACGTTTAAGTGAACTTTTAACAGTGTGTCAAACTTAGTTGTTTCTGGCGGCCGCTGTGGTGTAGTGGAAAGCAGTGCGCGCTTCCACTCCGCAGGGCCTGGGTCAAGCCCTGGTCAAAGCAACATCGCAAAAAAAAAATGTAGAAAAACGGTTTTTTCTTAACAGAGGTCGCCCCTCGGCAGGCAATGGCAAACCTCCGAGTGTATTTCTGCCATGATAAACAGCTTCTCATAAAAATACAATCGCCGTTCGGAGTCGGCATAAAACTGTAGGTCCCTCCCCTTTGTGTGACAACATCAAGGCGCACGCCACAAATCGGAGGAGAAGCTCGGCCAAACACTAACATATGTATAAGCGCCAATCTTATTATTATTATTAGTTGTTTCTTGAGTAATAAGTTTAGTATTGGACTGCATATCAGCACGGACGAACCATGATTCGGGACAACTTGTTCAAAACTGTGGCAGCTTTAAAGAAGTCGCAAAAATTAGACTGTGACGGCAGAATAGTTCGGTCGTGTTTTCTATCGCTCTGTGTTTATTTTCATTTATCTCGCAATAATGTCTTTATGTACTAATTGTACGGCCCATTGTGGGCTGAAAGATAAAATCTTAAACGCGATTTCGGATTTGAAAAATTAGAAAGCATTTTTATCGCATTAATTGAACCAGCAAATGATAATTCTATTTCGCCGGCTCCTGCTACTAGTGGAAACAAAACAACGACGCGTTCGCAAGCAAAAGCTAGTGATAGTGTTGTTGCTCAGCCTGGTAAATTGCCAAAGCGCGCTTTCACTGCGCCATCTAATGATGCTGTTGCTGACTCTAATACCGTGGCAGTACGAAAAAGTTCTGAAATGCATTGTGTTTCTGATGCGCCGGGTATAAATACTGGTTATACCGCTCTTGATGTAGTTGATACTAATACCGGTTTTTCAACTACTCCTAGTAGTAATACCGGTTTTTCTGCTGCTGTTGCTTTTACTCGCTCGCCAACTACTCCTGGTAATAACATCGGTTTTTCTGCTTCATCTCTTCCGCCTGCTTGTACTTCTCCCTGTTCACCAACTGCTGGCCCCGCTAACGCTGTGCCTACGTATGCCGCTGCTGCGGCTTTGGCGAACAATGCTAGGTTGAGCAACGCACAAGCGAAAAACGCAACTAACAATGCGCAAGCAAATAATGCACAGTGGTCCGCTATGGATAAAAAGCGTACTCATAAGAGACATAGGCGGTGTGTATTTGGGTCAAATGAGAACTCGGAGCTGGGGGTTGTGGTTCGTCGCAAATGGCTGCACTTATCATATTTTTTGCCTACTGTAAGGACTGATGACATCATTGGCTATGTGGCTAAATATGCAGCTATCGATAAGAAGACAATTGTATGCTATAAACTGGTCAAGAAGGATTCTGATTTGGAAACTATTAAGCACATTAATTTCAAGCTTGGAGTTTCAGAATCTGACTACTCAAAAATTCTGTCATCGGATATTTGGCCCTCCAACGTTGCTGTCCGGCCTTTTGATTTTTTTCAAAAAGATGCCCAGCCGCAGCCCAAGAAGTAAAAAGTCATTCCACCTCTGGTGATCGGAAAATAAGTATCTATCACCAAAATACTTCGGGACTCAGGACAAAATCCGAATCTGTCTACATTCTCAGCTCACAATTGGATTATGGCTGCTTCGTTCTGACAGAAACCTGGCTGAATGCTAACTTTTTCGATGCGGAGTTCTTTAATCCAGCTCTCTTTGACGTTTTTCGCAAAGACAGAGATTTTGCTAAAACTGGTGTTAGTAGGGGTGGTGGTGTACTGATAGCTGCGCGCAGATATCTTCGAGCTTCTTTTTATCCGCTGCTAGATGCCAACTCCCTGTTGGATCAGCTTTGTGTAAAATTACATGGCACCTGTGGTGTGCTGTACATTTGTGTGTCCTACATTCCGCCGGGCAGCTGTGATGTCATATACAAGGCACATGTTGACAATATACTGGCACTCCACGAGAAAATTGGAAACAGCCAAGTTTGTGTTTTAGGTGACTTTAATTTATCTAATATTTCCTGGAGCTTTATTGATAACACTATTTTCCTCACCCCATCAAATATTACTACTTTATCTGAATCATATTTAATTGATAATTTATTATGTATTGAATTATTTCAAATCAATGGTTTTTTTAATGAGTTAAACCGAATTTTAGATTTAATATTTATTAGCTCTAATATAAATTTCAAGCTCTCTCATGCGGCCAGTTACATCTCCCCTCCAAATCAGCATCATAGCCCTATGGTTTTGGAGTTTGAATTTTACCAATATTTTGAATTACCGACTGCTAATCAGACGATTGCTTTTAACTACTCTTGTTGTAATTTTGCTGAATTGAATAATTTGTTTGATTTGGATTGGTCCCAGCTCTTTGGAAATGTGGATGTAACTGGTTGCTACGATATTTTTAAGTCTAAACTTTTTGATATTTGTGTGGGTCACATCCCAATTCTTAATTCGAAAACCGCGAAGCGTCCATGGTTTACTAAAGAACTCAAACGTATAAGGAATAAGAAAAATACGTTCTACAAAAGACAAAAGCATTCCAACGATGTTAATTTGCGTGAGCGTTACGTGTTTTATAGAGCTGAATTTAACAGGCTCAATAAATCTTTGTATAGGAATTATATTCGCGGCGTAGAAAGCAATATTAAATCTAATCCCAAGATCTTCTGGAGTTATATTAAATCAAAGAAAAATTGCTCTAATATACCTGCATCGGTCCAGCTTAACGGGGTGTCAGCCAACTCCATCTCCGAAGCTGTTAATCTTTTTGCTGATTTTTTTTCTTCCAACTTTATTTCAGGTAATTCTGATAATGATTTTATTCCTGAAGATCTTTTGTCAAATTTAGATACTCACATTAACTTCGGGAAATTAAAGTTGACAGACGAGGATGTAGCTAATGGCATTAACTAGCTTAAACTATCCACTAACACTGATGTAGATGGCCTCTCGGTTATTTTATTAAAAGTTGTCCTTCACTAATTGCGCCATTGAGGCACATTTTTAACATGTCTCTATCTGCCGGAGTTTTCCTCGATGACTGGAAATTGACTTTTATTACGCCAATTCTTAAAAGTGGTAACAAAAATTGTATTGAGAATTATAGGCCGATTTCTAAGCTTACCACTGTCTCAAAACTGTTTGATTCCATAGTTAAAGATAAAATTTACTTTGCTGTTAAACATATATGTCCCAACAAACATGGGTTCGTGCCGGGTAGATCTACGTTAACCAATTTAGCTGCTTTTACAGAGGACTGTTTGGAAACCTTTCAAAAGGGATTCCAAATTGACGCTATATATACCGATTTCTCTAAGGCTTTTGGCAGTGTGCCTCATCGAATATTGATAGCTAAACTTGAAGGCCTGGGCTTTCATTCAGAGTTTCTGAAGTGGATCACATCCTATCTGTATAACAGACGCTGTGTTGTTCGTTTTGATAATGTATCGTCTTATTCTTTTGTCTCCTCCTCTGGTGTTCCCCAGGGTAGTGTCTTAGGTCCGTTATTATTTGTTATCTTTNCGCTGTGTTGTTCGTTTTGATAATGTATCATCTTATTCTTTTGTCTCCTCCTCTGGTGTTCCCCAGGGTAGTGTCTTAGGTCCCTTATTATTTGTTATCTCTATTAATGATATATCTTCCTGTTTCTCAAAGTGTAAGTTTCTTCTATATGCGGATGACCTGAAGATATACTATGAAATTAAAAATAGAGAAGACTCATTGATTCTCCAGGGTGAGCTTGATAATTTGTACTGTTGGTGTGCGCGTAATCGTTTGTCCCTCAATATTGGTAAATGTCATTATACCTCTTTTGCAAAAGTGATTAGTATTGTTCCAACCTCTTACTGTTTTTCGAATGTCCCGCTAAAATCAATTACTGATTTTAAAGACTTGGGTGTTTATCTTGACTCCAAGCTCACCTTCACCATCCACATAAACTTTATTGTTTCTAAATCATTCGCGATGTTGGCCTTTATTCGTCGCAACCGCTCGTCATTTTCCGATCCTTATGCTCTCAAACTGTTGTATTCGTCTTTAGTTCGGTCAAGGTTAGAATACGATATTTTTGTTTGGAGACCTTTTCATACAGTTCATGTGAACAGATTGGAGTCTGTTCAGAGGGCTTTTATACGCTTTGCTTTGCGTCCGTTGAAATTTGTAGACCCTATTCCGTCCTATCGTTCTCGTTGTTTGTTGATAAATCTCATGTCCTTAGAGTCCAGGCGTACTTTGTTATCGATGTGCTTTGTCTTTGACATAATTGCAGGCTCAATAGATTGCTCGCACCTCCTTATGAAAATTCGTTTTAATGTTCCCTCACGTATTCTTCGTTATAATGCATTGTTTTTTGTGGGTGTTGCTAAAACTGTTTATGGTATGAATGCTCCTTTAAAGAGGACTCTCTCCCAATTTAATGCTTATTCTTCATCTTTAGACTTCGATTTTTCTTACTCAAAGTTTACTTTTAAGAATTTACTCATAAGGCACTTGTCATAAGGGTTTCCTTCTATGCATATATTTGTCATATAGTCTGTAAGCGTCCTGTTTGTTGATAATAATAATAATAATAATAATAATAAAATTTCACTACCTATCCGATTGTCAGATGTTGTGTATGGATTTGTTAATTCTTCTTGATGTGTGTTATTTTGTATGTCGATAAGTGACCCTGCAAAAAATTGTGCGACTAATCTCTAAAGAGAGTATTCCGAGATTACTCTCAATCGGGTACATTAATTAGTCGCAACTAGTCTCATACGGGTACTAATGGAGGTCAATTAGTTTCGACTAATCCCTTATGGGTATAATTGGAGATCAATTAGTCCCCAAGTCATCTCTAACGGGTACTGTTAACGATTTAATGATATGTACGCACTTAGTCAATGAAATTTCATGTGCGGCGTTGGAGAGTATTCGCCTAACCAAACTGAGCAACCCGGTTCGAATCTCAGCTGGCGCAAAATTTTATTTTTATTTTTTAAAAGTAACTAGTCGCTTTTTATACCCGTTCGGGTATAAAGGAGAACAATTAGCCTCTTCATAGGACATGCTCGAACAAATGCGAACAGTTCATTCCATATAAAGAGATCAAAAGTGGTATTAGTCGCATGTTCCTTTGCGATTGCTCCCGGAGTCATCCCGGATTAGTCCCATTTTTTGCAGGGAAGTCATGCAAATTCCGTGTTCGTGTAGTTGTATGTGTGTCTTGATGCGGTGAACGGAACATTTCTATTATTTCTTCTCTGATGATTACAAAAGTCTAAAAAAGTGGAGTTTACAATTTGGTCGAAACTCTTCGAAAGCTTCTTTTAATAAAAAAAAAAAAAATGGAATATGTAACTATACAAATAAATAAATCTTAAAATATAAATGATACAGCTCACCAAAGAGCAAAAAAAATTCTTCAATCATGCTGGTAATCCCAAAAACAATAGAAACTTATATGGTTTTGTTAGTTGATTACAATTCCATTTATCCTGTCGTCAATACTTGCAATATTATTGTTGATAATTGATTTATTATCGATTACTATTAATTAGTTGACTATGCTGATGTTAATGATATAAATTTCAATATCAGTTGTACTTCCAACAATAGTTACGCTAAAACTTTCAACGATGATCAATCAACAGTATAAAGCTGAAAAATTCATAAAAGAAGCGACAAAGTCGACGTCTAATTCGCAGATACAAATATTGTTGCACTAGTTGAAGCGTGGACGGTTTTTTTAAATCGCAGAACTAACAAAAACTGATGTTTCAGAGCTTCTAAATAAACACTAACCACTGCCGAAAATATTACTAATGCTTGTGCTCATCAATAAAGTAAGATCAGTGTTGCCGGACGAATGTCGATGACCAGTCGTACTTAATCTGTGCTACATAAAGAACCAACTCCATTACGTTATTAACAGCAAAGCTTGAAGTAAACTTCATAAATACATTAAGGATTTAAATTTGCATTTGTCTGCTCCTGGCAGGATCGCCAATAAATTTAGTTGTTCTTATTTCCTGGCGCAGGGCAGAATGAATGCAACATTATTTCGAGAAAAGAAAACGCTATCAATTTACGTGTTTTGAACATATTTAAACATTGTTTTAAACACTTACAATAATTCAATACTTTCTAAATTAAGGGTAGGTAGAAATCAAATCCATCGAAGAACTCATAAATATCTTCTAGAAATTAATAATAATGTTTACCATTAAAATGGACTTTATATAAATAAAACAAGTAAGAGCAGCGCTGTCTTCGGCTATGCCGAAGGCTTCATACCTTTCATAAACATCTAAAAATTTTACTTTAACAGATTCCTGCTTTTGAAAAAATGAATATATTCACAGTATACATCGATAGAGGAGGTACATATCTATACATATCGAGCCCTAACCGCCAAAATAACGTAAGCGACATTTTTTTCAAAATTTTCTTTTTGATGCAGAAATGCATCTAAAT